ATCTGTGTGGAAAATATTAATACATTTTTATTATGTAGCCATACAGACCAGCTAGCTATACTGTCAAATACTTTCTTACAGTGTGTTCAAGTTATTTTCAGTTTGAGAAATGGTAATGTTTTGGCACTTCCATACACATTGGACAGTATGTTAAGCTTGGAAACAACTGAATAAAATATTTGTTATTATCTTTTAATACTTTAAAATAACAAAATGTATGAATAAGAATACCTGGAGAAAACAGAAGGCACAATCAAGAATGACTTGGGAGAGAATTTAGATAAGGGATACTTTCTGGAGGAGCAAGGGTTAAGGGAAGTGATGAGATATTTTTGAGTATCTATCCTATAGCCACAGTGGAAAGCTGAAGGCGCAAGAGATAAGATGCGGCAAATATGAGCTGGAACTATGGAAGGGTGTATTCCTGGAGCAATGCAGGCACTCCCAGAAGATACCTCAGCGCTAAGTTACAGACCAATTGGGGCAAGAATTCTCACTCCTACTGCCCCCTGCCAGTGCCTCTCATTGACTATACCCCAACAGAAGGCAAAGGACAAGGGAAATTAGGTGAATGCAGTTCCTAGAGGCTAACTCCTGGGGCACAAAGAAGGTCAAATGATGGATTTGGGGTTTGAGAAGGGGTGAGGAATAGATAATGATTAGTATAATAAATGAAAAAAATAAGTGTATCATGATATTATATCATATCAAAATCCATATTTCCAAAGCATTTAGATCTTGTGTAACTTAGCATTAGCCACATGATGATTTCAGTGGAATAACCTGAAACCTTGAATCCACAATTATCAAAATATAACTCCACTCATTAAGACTCCCTAAATTGGGTATAATCAAATCATATTTTTCATTATGTTGTAAGGTTCCTAAGCAGCTTTCCTGGTAGAAAAGCATCTATAAAAATTAGGTAAATTAGACTCATTTAGTCAATTAGAACTCTGCCCTCATTGACCAAAATAAAAGCTGAAGAGTCAAGGATTTTCCTTATTTCATATGAAATAAGTACCAGCTTATTAGACTCATTAAGTGCATGACTTCCCACTCTGTTATCAATATAAAATTGTTTCTACTTGCATTTTCTGCCAATCAGCATAACTTTGGAAGGAAAGATGGAGAAAAGGGAGAACAAATTAAGTGCACACCATTTTTCCTGACTGAGAAACAAAGAAAACAAAACAAAACAAAAATGTCTCACAGGTGGCAAAGTCAGAGAGATTACTAATGATAAATCAAACTCACCAATCTGGTGGTCATGGGATAGCTCGTTCGATCATTGTCTCCCTGTTAACAGGTTACTTGCTCCTCCTAGCTCCCTTATTACCCTGTTTTCTATTTTTTCCAATCCACGTTACCAAGTACTATATAATTAGGATGTTTTCCCATGATGCTATTACTATGTTTAAAGGACATATTAAAACAGGAAGTTATTGCTGTGGAGTTGCTACCGATGCACTGGTAAGCCTAATTCAACAACTGAGACAAGTCAGAAAGTACTTGATTCCCTCAAAAACCCATAAACCAGATGTAAATTACAGAGATTGTTAAAATCAATTCTAAGCTTAAATATAACAAAGCTAACTAAAGTTTTGGTAAATGAAGTAAGGTGGTAAAATAAAGAGAACCTCAAAAGAGACTAAGCTGAGATGTCTGATATTCAAGACCATGCTTCCTTGCCCTATCCCACTCCCTTTGTAATTTCTATTTCACATATGTCATGATTGTTTTATTTTTTATTTTTTTATTTTTATTTGTTTTAAAGATTTTATTTATTTATTTAACAGAGACACAGCGACAGAGGGAGCACAAGCAGGGGGAGTCGGAGAGGGAGAAGCAGGCTTCCCGTGGAGCCAGGAGCCCGATGCGGGGCTCGATCCCAGGACCCTGGGATCATGACCTGAGCCGAAGGCAGACGCTTAATGACTGAGCCACCCAGGCGCCCTGTCATGATTGTTTTTAAACACATGGTTCACTGACAATGACCAATTTAAATAAGTAATGCTGCCTTTTAAAAATAAATATGCAGTGATAAAGGGGCCATTTAAAGCTGCCTTTTCATTTAAGAAGGACAAATAAAACATAATATTATAGGAGGTGGATAGGTGGATAGATAATGAAATATTTTTGAACTGTTGCAGCTTGGTGCGGTTATCCTCAGGAATGATATGTCAGTCCAACTCTAAAGAATCACTAATAAAATCTCTATAAAAAGCTACTCACAATTAACACTTATGGTGTTATTAAGTAGGGAGTGATGCAGGAGGAAGGGGGTTAACTATAACCCTTACTCTTCCATTGTTTAATTACCCTGTGTTCTTCTAGAGGGCACCAAAGTATTGTTGTATAGAAGCAAGAGTAAATCAGCTCCAGGGAGCACTCTGTGAGATGCCAGCTTTGAGCTAAAGTTGAGATGAGTTTCAAGTTGCTGAACACCCCCATACAGCAGAAAAAGATATAAGATATCGACACGCTCAGCTGCATCTTGTTAAAAGCTTCCTGCGGGTTGGCAGAATGAAATCTTTATTTAAAATACACAAACTATTGTCAAGGGAAAGATGGAAAAGAGAACACAGTAAAAGGTCCAAATGCTTTGCTTAACCCACCAGAAGCAGCAGAAAGGGAGAAGTGGTCACATTGTCTTTGCAGCAACAACAGAAATGGTGACTAACACCACCACATCAGCATTCATCTACTCTTCCCATGGTATCAGGATGCATTATTTCCTTTATTATTAATTATATGTGTTTCCGGGGAGGACAAATATATTATTACGAATAGCAAAAGAGGAAATCCTTTCTGGTGCCACTTGGCATTAAGTACAGTAGCGTATGTAATGAGTGAGTGATGACAGGAAACATAGCAGCAGCGTTGAGTTCTGGCATCCCTCCTACAAACCCGCTCCAACTTGCTCTTGGTAGTCAGAGGCTTTCAAACAGAAAGTTCATGTAAAACCATTATTGAACACTGACAGGAAGGAACTGAGACGGGAGGGAGTGGTGTGTATTTGTGCAGAAGGGGAAGGAGGGAGGGAGGGAAGGAGGGAGAGAAGGAGAGACTAGGAGAGAGAATGAGTTAGTCATCATCTTGCACAGACAACACCATAAGGGGGCAGGTGCTTTGCATAATTATAAAGATAGACGTACACATGCACACACACTTGCACACACAGAAGAAATCATTTTGGTTTATATCCTATCATTTCCAAAAACAGCTTTACGTTATAATGATTGTGAACCTTCCTGGATGGGTGAGCTCAGTAGGTTTAAGGGGGTAGAGCAGGTAGCCTGGCAGGAGATGGGTTCAGAAGAAGGGTCACTCCTGAAGAGCAAAGGGACATGACAGGCAATGAAGCAGACATGAAAAGAAAAGAGGTGAAAGGACCCTGGGGAAAATGTCACATGTATTGATTAAGCTTTATTTCCCTTTGGGAGAAAGTGACATTTCTGCTATTAGATCATGGACATATAAGGAAAGTAGATGGCTCACTGCTTTTCATTTTCTTCCACAGTGCTTAGGGCACCTTTAACCAGAGGGTACCTGGAAGGCTTTCTGTTGCATTATTATAAACAGGATAATTATTTTAGCGTGTTTTTTTTAAAGCACCAATGTGGTGACATTGCTCTTTCTTTAGCAAGAGAGATAGCATTGGTTGCCACAGCTGCATCCTTTGATTAGACACAAATGACGGTAAAATGATAGAAGTTTTCTGTTACATTTCTTCCACCCTACTCTTCCCTAGCTCCAATCCTCTTCTCTAGCTTTGCTCAGGGGATTTAAGTTACTCTTTCCACGTTTGTAGAGTCTGTGATACACCACCTCAGAGGCATTGGTCATTCTCCTAATCAGGTAGTAGAGAAATACCTAACCCTCCCCTCCTCCCCATGCAGTCCGTGTCCTCGCTTCAGAAGCGAGGCTAGTTTCTAGCAACTTTCACAGGTTTTTCCCTTCTCAACTACCGCCTTGACAGAGTCCTATCTCTACCTCAAGTCCAGCCACGCTACCAAGCACCCCAACTGAAAACTACATCCAGTATCCGAGATGCAGTGCACCCTGCACCACGCAGCCTCTGCTCCTGTTTCCTACTCTTCACTAAAGTGGACTCTTCATAAGCAAAAAATGTATTGCAAATTAAAACTCTGCCCCCCCCCCCCCGCATTTTTAACCCCGCCGCCCCTAACGCTTGCCGCCTGCTTCCCTTCGAAAACGCAACCAAACAAAAACCGAAATAACCAAAAGCACGCAAACACCTGAAGAAGCGCAACCGGGATCTACACCTGGACAAGTCCTCTGTGGCTTTAGTGGTCGGGAATAGCTTCCTCTCCCCGGGCGGACTGCTTTATCCCGGAGCCCGGGGGTCATGCCACGGCCTACGGGTCGCGGGGTCCGCTCGGTCGAGCCCGGGCAGCGCGTGGTGGCCTCCCAGTTTCCCCTCCTCCCGCCCTGGCTCTCACTCCCGCACAGCCGCCGCCGCCGCCACCCGGGCTGGCGCTCAGAACATCCCGCGCCACGTCTTCCCCGCCCCGGCTCCCGCTCGCCAGAGCCCGGCCCGCGCCGCTGGCAGCCATCAAGTGGCTCGTTAAGGAAATGCAGGTGAGTGCATGCGACCGAGCGGCTGCTGCTGGAGACGTGGGGTGTGTGCCTGTGTGTGCGAGCGGGGGGAAGAGGGAGCGCGAGCCAGCGAGCGAGTGCGGGAGCGGCCGGGAGATGCTCGCCGCCTCTGCTCCCCGCCCCACCGCGCCAGCACCCGCACCCGCACCCGGCGGCCCGAGCGCGTGGGGCAACGCCTCGCCCTGACAGCCGCTCGTCTCCCCGCGGTCTCGGCGGCAGCTCAGCCGGCCACCCAGCAGCCTCCCCCCGCCCCGGCGGCCCCCTCCCAGCCCGAGCCCTCCCGCTGCTCCTCCTCCTCAGCCTCCTCCCCTCGCGCGCCGCTGACAGGCAGCCTCGGCGGGGAGAGAGTGCAGGTACTTTGCCTTCAGAATAATTTTCAGGACCCAAGCAAGCTTTCGGAGCGCCCTTATTTTCTTCGGTCGTTGCCCCTTCCCTCCGGAAAAAGAAGATCCCACTTTTGAAACAAACAGCCCCTGAAGCACCCTACCCAAGGCAAAGCCCGATGGGCTGCTGTGCATGTGCTATTCTTTCTTGCAGTTTATTCTGGGCCTGTGTGGAATAGAAAGACAATTCTTTATTTGACTGGTAGGAAAGAAAAGAGAAGACTCCTCAGGGTTTCCAAGGAGGACTGGAGCGTCTGCTTTAGTAAGTAAACTGTGCTTTTGTATTTCTTTTCTCTAAAGTGAGGCATATACTGAATGCTCTCCCTTCAGATGGTATAGACACAGTTCGTTTTACCGGGGACGAAGTTGACTTATATAACTTAAGTAGTTCTTAATTGAGAAGTGGTTTGCCAAGCTCTTTATTTATTTGTTTTATTATTTATTTATTTATTTATTTATTTATTTATTTATTTATTTATTTTTGAAGAACATTGAGAAGACTTCAGTATTGGGAACCTTACTGGGGATCTGATTTCTAAACGTTTATTGTTTAAGGGCTGTTGGAAGCCTGGCTTGTGAAATGTTGGTTGGTTCTAAGATTTAAGAATGGTTACCTAGAAAAAGCTTGAGAATTCTAACCTGGTTCACTTCTCCTGCTACCTTCCACCTCAACCTTAACCCACACCAACTCCCATCCTTCTCTGACTTCACTTGGTTGCTTGCTTTATCTTTAGTTCTGAAGACAGCTTGCCAAAAAATTGGGTCAAGGGAAAGTTAATAAAGATGGTTTGAAAGACCGGGAGAAAATCCTGTTGAGGTTTCTAATGCCTGTAGGTAGATGAGATGTGGAAGAAAATCCTGAAACCAGGCTAGTTTGGATAATTTGGATGAAATTAATTTAGAGAGGGAATGTGAAAAGTGCTTTGGAGAGGGTAGGAGCTGAGGCTGTGACTTTGACACAGCAGGTTATAAACTGTGACAGGGACTCAGCAGCTAGTGACAGGCTTAAGGTGTCTCCTAGGGCTGAATATCTCTGCATCAAAAACTTTTGCAGGCAGTATTCCTCTTGGGGCTAACATCACCATGTCAGTAGCTGCAGCATTTCTGTAAAAACAAGTAGGACACTCTTCCTTTCTCTGTGAAAGGGTTAATGATATATTTAAAAAGAATAAAAGATATACAGTCTAGCATTTGCCAGTATTTTGTAATATCTAAATAAAACCCTTGTGTTATGTCAGTAAAAATATAGTTGAGTCAGTTTGTTTTGCACAGAGGGAGAGAATCAATAACATTTCAGCATTTTTTTTCTTTATTACTGCCAAATGGACTCGGAATTTAATTCTTCTTTCATTGTTACATATACAGTAGATACAATGGGAATTGCAATTTAGATACAACAGAGCTGAGTTTTAACAAAGTCAAAGTTATCTGACATAATAGCATTCATGCCGACTAGTGTAGAATAGTAATTTTAAAAGTTTTTTATCTTTAACTTTCAATTTTCTGTTTCAGTGTAAAGTACACTTTTACAAGCAAATATCTTTAAGAGTTATGAACCAGATTGAAAATTAAAGCCACTTATCTCACAGAATTTTTTTTTTCAACAGAACACCTTACCATCAAATAATACCTAAGCGCTCTCTTCTATTTAATTGCCAATACTGATAAAGTAAAAAAAAAAAAAAGTTACCTTTATATTTACTCAGATGAGTATATAAAAGTGGCAATATTCATTTGTCACTGATTTTTAAAATTTTAAGAGTAAACTAATGTACAATGGTTTTAAAAAGGAAAGATCTTTTAGAGTTGCTATGGTTCTTCAATGTCAAAAACTCTGAATATCTTGGGACATAAGTTTTTAGGGTAATGAAATAACAGTAGGATAGTTGATGAATTTGTTGACATGAAGTTATAATATATGGAAATCGTTCAGGAAACATATGTCATTGTTTCTTGTATATTACTTTATTTTCTATCAAATGGGTTTTCTTAGAGGTATTGCTATTCTCAGCTGCCATTTCTGCTATTGGTTTAAAATGAATTCAAGTAATTTAAAATTAAGCCCTTGTTTGATCAGATTTGTAAAGCATATGACCTCTACTAACTTGTGACCTCAAATATCTGAAAGGATATCTGATGTTTGAAAAAGCAATTATCAAAAAATAAAAGGTAAGAGTGTACTGAAATAGCCAATTTTTTGAGTGGTTCAAACATGTTATTACATATATTATTATAAGACACTTTTCTACAGTAGGAAAGACATGACAGAATTGTTGATCCTGTTCAAATTGCTGAAAGCAAAGATCTACAATTAACATGAAAATTAATGTGACACACATTCTGCCTATGTTCTAATTATGTTTTTGTGCTAAGGAAGATAGCCTGAATTAAAACCATTTCTAGTCAGGCTTGCACATACTATATTTGATCACTTTCAAAAAAGTCAAAACTGGACGGGGTGATCAAATTGTCGGGGTTTGTTTTGTTTTGTTTTCTTGTTTTCTTTCTCTCTTTTTTTTTTTGCCACAAGTTTTCTATGCAATACAGAGATGGTTGCAACTTTAAAGTTGAAAAAATAAAGTTGCTAGTGTCAGCAGTAATGTGTTTTATTATGCAATTGTTCTTGTTATTCAGATCAGATAATGGCCCTATGAAATACATAAGCAGTCTGCAGGGAATGAATGATTAATTCCTCTAACGTGTGCTTACTAAAGGAGTTCTTACTAATAAAGTGCTGTATACCTGCATTTGCTTACAGTTGCAGTTGGTGAAGGCAAACCTACTTTTCTTTTCCTTTAATATTAACATAGAATTTACAGGTCTAGTCCTGTAACTATAATAACTTAAAGATGATTTTGTGGAACACAAAATGTATTTTATAGAACCCTTTGGATATATATGATTGCTATTTACTTAAAACAATTGATTTAGAAAGTAAAATATTGTTATTTAAATGTGATACTAAAGGACTGAACTATTAAAATTTTTGTTTTTCTCTCAGTGGAATGACATTCTTTCTCTCCTGTGTATTACTATTTGGATATGGATGCAAACTGCAAGTGCAAAGAATGTTTTTCTTTAGTAATATTAAGTGTAAGAGAAAAGTGAAAATATTATTATAAAATAATTAGCTAGATACTCTGTTAAAATTTTGGGAATGGCTAATAGTGCACATGACCATTGTGGTTACCACTGGGTAAATTGTTTTGCAGTTAGAGGTGTATCCTTGATTAACTTTCGATATCTTTGCATTTCTAAGACTGGATTATAGGTGTAGTTGGGAAATGGATGGATTTTATGTGGTGATTTGATAACAGGTGACCTGAGATGCATACTACACATTTTAAACCTACCTACCCAATGTCTTCTGTTTTTAGAAATTTCTAAAAAATGTGATTTTTCAAAATTGTCTCATTGAATATATCAATGTGCATCTCTCACATTTAACACAACAAATAACTTTATTTCAAGATTCCTCTGTTGTTTGGAGAAAATAACGTAATTTCAGTAGTATTATTTTGGACTTATAATGAATTTAATAAACTTTAACAATGCAAATTATATGATAGTATATATTTGATAATACTAATTTGAGAGTTATAGTGAAAATTGGATGAGTAGGATTTTGTATCCAGTTGAGTGCCATTTGAATTTATCTCCTTATATATTTAAGTGCAAATTTTTTATGACTGTTGTCGGTTCACTGGATTTTAATCAGGCTGTTCAAAAGCAATTTGGCATCCATAAAGAATAAATGAATTTCCACTGGTAGAATCAATGAGGAAGTTAACTGTACCTGCAATAATGGTTATGTTTTTTCAAACCCTTAAAAAAATTTGTTGAATGAAAGAAAATGAATGAAGAATCAAAAATGAACATTGCTCATTAGGTAAACTCTTATATGAGTGTAGAATCAAATGTTTTGAATTTTTCTCTCATCTTTATAATTGGCAGGGTGACTCCAGGGAGGTAACTTGGACTCTCCGAGTTTTCTCCTGGGTTTTTCTCCTCTGTCCAGTAAAGAGAAATTGACCTACAATTTGAGACAGTTTAAATTCCAAAATCTCATGGAACAAGATAACTAGTAAAATAATTAATAGTAGCATTTAGCAAATTGTTATATTATACTGTGGCACCTTGAGAACCCAAAGAGGAGTTGCGGCAGCCATCTTGTTTAGAGAAAAGCTAAGGAAATTGTCCCCCCATATTGGAGGTGACTGGACCCTGTTGTTATGTGGATTAAATGTTTATGTGGAAGAGAGTGTGGAAGGAAGGCAGTGGATTAAAATTCCTCTAAACCACCCTTTCCTCCAGCTACTGAAAAAATATTACATAAGTAAATATTTTTGGATTTGTTATTCTATTTAATACCAAAAGGTCATGAGAAGATAAAAATGAAATTGCATAGTGTCTTTTGACTTCCTTTTTTTCTCCTCTTAGTTTATTATATATTCTATTTTACAATATCATGTTTAGATAAATATGCACAGTTTAATTATATTGTTTTTATTTCCCTGAGATACGTGTTATAAACTGTCACAGCTAGAAGTAACTACATAAAAATTCATTTCAGCCCCTGTATTTTAAAGAGGAAACTAAAGACTTCAGAGGTTAAAATCTACAAAGGTGACATATACTTCCCAAGTTCACAGAGAGGTCTTATATCACAAAGCAGTAGTATCTAAGATGATACATTGACAGGTAAATACATAAATAATAATTTATATACCTGTTAGTAAATTATTAATAAAAATTCCAATTGATGATGTATGATACATTTATCTAAAAAGATTTTATATTGACAAAGCTTCTAATCATGGAAAGTGAACACAGAGAAAGAATATATACAATATTAATTTTGAGTGCTTGCTTTTCTTATAGAAAACCAAGATTGTATTACTAGATAGAATTCATGTTATATAATTGATGAAATTGAAAAGATTTTCCCTCTAAGAGAATCAGTATGTCCAATCTTTCCCTTTTCTGATATAAATATTTGGGTGGTAGCAAGTGGACCTCTAACTCCATAAAATGTTTTATATTTTAAATCACTGGACAATGGGAAATCATGCTGTATTTAAAATTTATTTACTTCTGAATGCAAGATATAGCTGATTAATTAGAGAGCTTATTTGCTTTCCATTTTGTGTGTTTGGTTGTGTGCATGTGTGTGCGTGTATGTTTAAACACAGGTGTTCAAGATGGAACTTAGTGAAAATGGTGCACTTAAAATTTTAGAAGTGTATGTGTAATAATTGAATA